TGGATTTAATTTTTTATCTAGGTTACTTCCCATGTTTATATAGTGTTCGTTAAATATGTTACTTATTTTTGCCAAATCTTTTGTTACTTCATCTCCATCCATTATTTCTTTAATTTCATTAGATATTTTATTATTATTTCTTAGACTGTTTATTGTTTTCCATAATTCTTTATTGTTAGGGTTTTTATTTATTTTTTGTTTATAGAAATTGCTTTTTGTTTTGGCTATCAGACTATTTAACTTGTTTCTGTATGTTGTATATTTTTGTCTAATATTCAGGTCTCCTGTTTCTTTATAATACTTGTATAATTTATCTCTGTAATGTATAGAGTTTATGATACCTTGTGTTATCCACCCTTTTCTTTTTTTGTTTTTTGTTTTAATCTTTTTATAAATTGTGTTTTTATTTATATTCTGCCTTAGTATATTTATAAGTTTTTCGGTTGCAGGTTCTACTTCATCGTTTAAGACCGTTATCCAGTCCACATTGTGTAAATCTCTATTTAAGTCCCTATAGTTAATTTGCTTAATATATTTACTGCCTTCACTTTTGTTTAATTGTTTGTTGCTTAATATGATTTGGGCCATGATTGGATAGTGATCCGTTATTTTTGATTTAACAATTATCGGCAAGGTATAATCATCTATATTATTTTTTGCTTTAATAAATATGTGATCAATGCATGAAGTTTCATTATTTTGTTCCCTTGTTATTTCATTTATGATAGACTTAAAACCATATTCCCCCATGATGTTTAGGTATTCACTAGATACACCTAAGGGATTAAGTATATTTATATTTAAGTCGCCCACAAATACAGATATCCCTTTATTTGTTAAATTTGATTCAAAGTAAAAATCTAAATCTATCAAAAATTTTGTTAAATCAATCCCGTGTAATCTATATATACCCATTACATTTACTGTTGTATGGTAAAAATTTATTTTTATATTTATAATTTTGCATTCTCCCACTTTATCAATTTTATAAGAAAAATCAAGATCCTCTCTTATAAATGCAATAACCCCATCGTTTTGATTGTAATTGCCTTCGTTATAAATTAACTTATACCCATCTAGTTTTATATAGTCTATATTAGTTTGTCGAGTTTCTGTCAGTACTATACATTCAAATTTAGGTGTAAATTGTTCCAAAAAAATTTCTAACTCCGGTAGATTCTTTCTAATACTTCTAATATTTAAATGTATTACTTTAAAATTTAGTGTTTCGGAATTTATTTTAAAAACCTGATTACATTGGTAAGGGCTATTAAGTATGAAAGTTTGTAATTCGCTGTTTTCAATAAAATCCTCCGGAAATATGACCATTTGGAGTTTAAAATATACAAGTATTAAATTTAAAACCTCCTTTTAACTTTCAATTTAAAAATAATAATTTAACAAATAACTATCTTACCTCCTGACTAAAACCTAAAATCTGATCTAAAAATGTAATACAGACACAAAACAAAATTTAAAATAATAATTTAACAATAAATAGCTTACCTCCTGACTAAAACCTAAAATCTGATCTAAAAATGTAATACAGACACATAACAAAATTTAAAATAATAATTTAACAATAAATAGCTTCCCTCCTGACTAAAATCTAAAATATGAACTAAAAATGTAACAAATACCGACACAAAACAAAATTTAAAATTTAAAGAGACCAATTACTATAAATAAAAATTTAAATTAATATATACGAGTACATGTAGTAGATGAGACAAAATTTACTATAATAGAAATGTATTATTTTATTTTACTTAAGTTTGCTGCCGCAGAACGTGTAGTTTTACGTATCGTTTCAATTTTCTTGTCTGCAGTCTGTTTTATATCCGATGACAGCTTAGGTTTTTTATTTTCTTGGTTTTTTTTTCAGAATTTACCTCAGTACTCACTAGATCCTCAATTGTGAATACTTCTTGACCAATAATTAATTTATCACCCTTGATTTTTGCACTTAGACCTTTTATTGTAGCTTCCTTTCTGTGTTTGTGTAATATTTTGCTTGTTGCTAGGTCTTCAGTGCAAAGGTCTGGGTTGATATATATTGTTTTTCCTTTTAGTTTATGTGCGTTTTGTAGAATCAGTTGTTTTTTTTGGTAGGATATTAATTCCAATAGGATTGGCGTATTCGGATTTTCTTTTGGCCCCAATTTGTAGATGTCGTTGATATCTTCTTCGACGATAGCAACTTTTAGATGTGAGTCAAAGAATTTAATTATTTGTTCAATTAGACTAGTACTTTCTGTTTTTAATCCAAATATGACCAGATTGTTTTTTCTTAATTTTCTTTGAAGGGTTAAATTTGTTTTGTATAATTCAGTGTTTTGGTTCTCTAGCACTGATATGCGTTTTTCTAAGCCGCTTAATGTTGTTTGTAAATCGGTTTTTATGGTTGTTATTTCCTTTTTAATTTCTGTTTTGACCTCCTCGCTCTTACTTATTATATTAATATTTAACTTGGAAATGATTTCTGTTATAAAAGCCTTTTGTGCTTCACTAAAATCACCCATTTTGTTCGGTACTTATTTTTATTTAAATTATTTAGTGCGTGTGTGGACTCCTTTATTTTATTGTTGTTTTCCAGTTTAATTTTTGTTGGTAGGATGTGATTGTTTTTTCTATTTGTTTATACTAATTTGTCCACTTTTTTATGATATATTACTTATGAAGGCTATTTATTAATATTTGTCAAACTTTTACTATTTATATTTAGGTTTAAATGACTAATATTTGTTTTAAAGTTAGCATACCTCTTTAGGTTAACAGTTCATTTAAAGGCCACCACACACTGAATCGAACCACAGATTATAAAGAATCGAACTCTTAACGTCAAAATATATTTGCGTCACAAATAAGTGTGAAGTTAGTTATTAGCACCAATTTTTTCCATTTTTTAGTCAAATTCCCTAGATCACTAGTTAAATTTTAAACCATAGTAAAAACATCACAGTGCAAGATTTTGGACACTAATCTCCTGTTACCTTTTAACTTGTCAGTTTATTTAACTGATAAGTTAGAGAAAACGGCGCAAGTGGCCATAAGACATTGTACTTGTCAAAACTACGAAATTTTTTCAATGATTTTATTTAAAAAAACTTAACGCTAAAAGTATAAAGTTGTCTAATTTCGGATAGTTCACGTTTCTCAATTTCCCCTATCCAAAATTAGAAATCCAAAATTATGAACTAAACAAATTCCAACATTTAGAGTCGCCCAAGGAATATAATGTTGACTTGACTTTGGTGTCCGAAATTGGGAGCCCAATTTTAAATTTGCAAAAATTACAATTACTACAAAAACCTCATTTTTTGTAATAAAAATGTTTTGATATTAAAATTTGTTTCTTTGCAATGCATTGTATACTAGCCAATAGATAAAGCATTAAAAATTATTTTATCTAAATAATTTTGATTATTTTGAAAAGGAAATTAGGCGACTTTCCTCTACACAGTCCTACCCTTACTTCAAAATTTAAAAAATTCAAAACATTACATGAATTTACTGAGTAAATAATTACAAAAATTGACAAAAAATTTTTTTGAACAGAGAACGATTTAAAAAACTAAAAACGTAACTGGATGAAGAGCTGTGATTGGTTGGTTGGACAGGTTTGCCTCTGATTGGACCAGCAGCGTAAATGAAGTTAGCCATGAATATCAAAATATTCCTCCGAAGTAAATAAACTTTAAATTTTAAACAAAAAATACTTAAAACAATAAAACATTTTACTTAAACTGACTTTTTAAGTTAAATTTAGCAGATGTAAAAAATGTCTAAAGTAAAACCACATTAACTTTTGACGTGGTTTGAATAAATATTTAATGTGAGTTTTTATTGATTTTTTGGAAAGTAGGGATAATTGTTAAAATTAGTAGATGGGCAGTTCTACGAAGCATGGTCGATTCGTGATATTCACCACTGAAGATCAGAAATTAACTTAAAACTATTTTGCTTTGGTTGCGGTTTGTTTATATTGATCTATTGCGAGTAAACCTTTAATAAAAAATTAAATTTAAAAAACAATTTTCTTTAGAAGCTGTTTTTTATCCTTAAAACTACAGACCGTCACGCGTAACTTCACATGGTTTAGTCCTTTTATTGCATTAGTTTATACTTATCAAGATGGGTTTGTATCTTATACTACGAATAACATTATAATAAGATGTCCATAATTAAAATTTTTGTGATTACTCAACCCATTTCTCAAATACAGCGCCTAAAACGTTCATAACTGGATTGTTACTCAAGACCATCACAGTGCTTTTATTAGTTCCAAATTTATTCGCTATGATTACTACTCAGCAATACGGGGTTGGTATCATATGTTTTTAGTCGTAAATGATATGGCGAAAAAGTAGTGTCGCGCTGTGAGTTCAAGTTCTAAAATTATGTTTATTTTTGCGGTAAGTACAAATTTGGTAAACTTTTATGTTTCTTAACCGTCACACTGTTTATTTTATTATGCAAGTTTCAAAAGGTGCCAAACTATTTTTTTATTTTAAGCTTCTTGTTGTTGTTTGTTTGGCTAACCTCACTTTTCCACTACGGTTAATAAATAAATACTTGGCGCCAATTTTGTATCGTGGCCCTCAAGACCGTCACCCTCGAGACCGTCACTCTACGTTAAACTTTAATTGTGATGGTCTTGAGAAACCTTGTGACGGTCTTGTGGTTTCCGCTTAGAATTGTACTGTACTAATACTCAAGTGTATTTCTACCTTCTCTTATGGAGATACGGACATTCTTTAAAATAGAAAATTAAAAAAAACTTTTTTAATTTTCAGGATAGCAATGGAACAAATTAAAAACAAAGTTGAATCTGGCATGCTTGAACTAAAAAAGAAATTAAAAGTAATTAAAGAAGAAGCGCATCTTAAATTTATTAAAAAACAAAATGAGGCAAATATTCTAAAAAAAAATAATAAAAAAAGCAAAAAGTAGAAAAAGAGATAAATCATGTATAAATAAGTTTTAAGGAAAGTGATAATATGAAAGATACCGTCCAAAAAGATGAGACTGATAGTCAAGAAAACCAAACCAAAAAAATAGAAAATGACAGTGCATTAAATAGTATTCAGCATAGCACTAAACCGAAAATAATTACTAGATCTAAGATAAGAAATTCTGGAAGCATACAAACAGTTTCTGATGCTGCAAATTCTAAATACAACCCTGAAAGACGTGATGAGATAAAACAGAAAAAGACAAAGATCTCCCGAGGAACTCGAAACGAAACCAAGAAAAGTATAACTTCTATTGACAAAAAAAGAAAAGATGCAGCCGAAAGGAAAAGAAAACAAAGAGAAAGAATTAAAGCCGATATTAATAAATATGAATTGTACAAAAACGCAGAAAAAGTAAGAAGTCGCAAAAGAATAGAAGAGGGGAAGATTAAAAATATTGATGATATGTCTGAACGGGAAAAAAGGGCACAGAGAAAGCTGTGGCGAAAAAGTTATCATCGTTGTAAAAATAATCTCAAAAAAAGGAAAGATGAAGAATTAATAAGACAACAAAATACACCACCCGCTTCCGATGCAGAGGAACCAGTTTTTGTAGACATTCAGTTGCAAAATGCTGCTGTAAGAAGTTTACATCGAAATGCCGTCTGAAAACTTAAACGAAAGTCTACAAGAAAAAATCAATAAATACAAAAAACAGGCCAACTTGTGGAAGCAAAAATGTTCAAGGCTTCAAAAACAAAAAAATAATGGGTCTCCTTCGCCAAACTCAAAGGTAAAAGATATAATGCGTGAAGGACAAGAGACTGTTAAACGAAAACTTATAATGAGTGAGATTTTAGAAAAAAGTTTGACAATTCCATCAACGTCAACTACAATTTCCTCAAGGGAGTTAGCAATACAAAGAGATCGTTTGACTAAACAAATTTCACCATTAAGCAAAGTTATTATTAAATATAAGATGAAGGAACCACTAAAAAAAACACTGGGTAGGCATTGTGTTCAGAAAAAACTTTTAAAAAATTTAAAAGAGACTAGACAAACAAAAACACAGGATCCAATAAAAGAAGACGTAATTTCGTTCTTTCAAGAAGACGGCAATTCCTTTTTTACTCCAGGAAAACGAGACACAATAACTAAACAGAAAAGTAAGAAACAAAAGCGCTTCTTGTGTGAGAACTTAAGAGTGCTACACAAACGATACCAAGAGGCAAGAAATAAGAAGCTGTCTTATTCCGCGTTTTGCCGGTATAAACCATTTTGGGTGCTTAAAAGGAAATCTACCGAAAGAGATACTTGTATGTGTGTTTATCATGAGAATTTCAATTTAAAATTTTCCAAATGCAAAACTTTGCATTTGATAAGCTCTTCAACTGTCCTAGATATGATCGAATCAGTATGCTGCAGCGCCCAACAAAAAAACTGCATGTATCGTAATTGCAGATAGATTAATAGCATTTAACAACACTGAAGACACGGACAATGACCCAACATTTTATTTTGAATGGAAGACAGTAACAGAAGAGAGGGAGAAAAAGGGAAAGAAGTTTACAGTTAAAGTAACAAAAAAAATTAAAAATTTATGTACTATTATTGAACTAAAGAAATCGCTAGAAAACGCTCTGGGAGATTTTTTGTCTCATAAATATAGATAATACCATCAACAAGCTTTTTCAAGGCAGATGAAATCAACAATCACAAGCAATAAAGTTTTTATAATAGTAGATTTTTTTGAAAATTATCAGTTGAAATATTCCACGGAGATTCAAAGTTGTCATTTTGGTGCGTCTAACAGTCAAATAACTGTTCACACAGGGGCTTATTATGTTTATGATGAATCAATCAGCGGAGAAAGGATCCTTCAAACATTTTGTACAGTGTCAAATTCTCCTCGGCATGATGCATCTGCTATATGGTCTATATGGTCCCATTTACTACCAATATTTAGGCAAATTAAAGATAAGTTTCCATCTATTACAAAAGTAGACATACTTAGTGATGGCCCGACAAAACAATATCGAAATCGAACCAATCTTTACCTACTTGGATACTTTATGGAAAAACTCGGTATGAAATCTGCATCATATAACTTCAGTGAGGCTGGCCATGGAAGAAGTATAGCAGATGGAGTGGGCGGAACTGTAAAAAGAATGGCAGATAATATGATAGCTCTTGGAAAAGACATTGCTTCTATTGATGATTTTATCGAGGCAAACAAGGACACAAAAATTATTCGTGTTGGTGAAGAAGCTGTAAACGAAATAGACAAAGCTATATATGAAAAACATCTGATTGCTGTTCCAAATACAATGAAACTACATCAAGTTTTTATTCAAGCTGAAAACTGGCAACGTCTCCATCTTAGGTACCTGTCCTGCATTGAGTGCCGAAATAATTTTCTTTGCAGTCATTACCCGACAAACCCAGCAACCTTAGATTTTGGTCAACAAGGCAATAAAAAATGTATCCTTTTTAGCTGTATAGGTAGTGTAAATGTCTGTTAGGGTGTGTATTTTGTTTTCTTTTTTTTATTTATACTTTTAAATAACACAAATTATCCTCCTTAATATAAAAATATTTAGATTCTAAAGAAAATTCTATGAAAGATATGGATTCAAAGTTTACCATTGAGGTAATAATTTCAACAGACCAGCTAACAGATTGTTTGGATCCCAGCATAAACAACAGTGAGAGTGTTGCCCTAAATAACATTAAAATTGGTTCTTGGGTGACTGTTATTTATGATGAAACTTGGTACCCTGGATGCATAAAAGAAATAAACGGTGAAGAGCTGAAAATAACATATATGCAACGCAACGGTGAATATTTTCAGTGGCCGTCCAAAGAAGATCTGCAAACTGTAAACAAATCTGGGGTGCTACGTATCTTGACAAATGCGCCTTTAAAAAAATCGTCTCGCTTATTTTCTATTTATGCTCGGCATTGATAAAATAACGAAGATATTATAACTTTGTTAAAGGATAAAACATTGGTTGTAGTTTATTTTTATAGGATGGAATGTTCCAAAGTGCCAAATACTAGTTGTAAGAGGTTTAGTTAATTTCTTAGCTCCTAGTTTTTTTGTCAAATACCTACTTATAAGTTAGTTTCACTTTTTTTTAATATGTTATGTGAAAACTTGTTTATTTGCCAAAAACTATTATTTGTAACTTTTACGTTGTTAAAAATTTTATGTCAAATGTATTTTTTTTGTTAATAAATAAAAAAAATATTGCATTTTTGCCCTATTATTTTTGTACTTGTGGTCCCAAATCACTGAACCATCGAACAAAATACAATATCTTAACTTTAGACTCACTACCATCACGATATACCGACCGTCACACCACGTACTAATCCATTTCTCGTTTAGTATTTTTTTAAATACTTATGTTTTGGGAGGTTTTTATTTTAATAAGGGACCAATATGGCATAAGCAGCAAAATTAGGATTAATTGCAGCCCAATCCATTTGTCAAAATTAAAAAGTTATGATATGGATTATAAAATTTTTTATAAATTTAGGTTAAATATATATTTTTGCTTATATTTTATGGATACTTATAATAAATTTGTCAAAAATATTTTAACAATATGTGCATAGTTTTAAGAAAAAAATATTTTGTAGGCGGTACACAACATCTAGCACAATTTTAGAATACAAATATAAGGGTGACGGTCGTGAGTTTTACTAGTTTTATTACCAAAAATCTGTAGTAACTTTTTTCATGGTAAAAAAAGTGGGTGGCGCGAGTGAGATATGAAAACTAAAGACTTAGTCAATTTCAAAAATGTATAATTTATATACGTTCAAAGCACTTTTTTTTAAAACTCTACCACACAAAAATCGACCATGCTCCGTAGAACTGCCTAGATAACACCTGAACAAAAAAACCCTTTAAATGATTTTTCGAAATTCCGCACCATTTTTATTATTTTTGGTACTACAATTTTTAAAAGAAAAACTGATAACTTACGTGGTTTGCAATAATCCGATTTTTTTGACAATAAAATAAATCAGTAAAAAACTAATATTTGCAAAAAGGTTTTTTTTATAAAAAGTATTTTAATAAGTTTAATTATTTATCTTCTAGCTAGGCCTACAAAAATTGTATATTCATATATTTAATATTAAAGAGTGCCTTGAGAATCTCAAAGATATAAAAATTAAATATTTTGACAGTTTAAAGTTTTTGTTTTCGTAAATTCCTTTAATTTATTCACTTTGGAAATTAAATCGGTGAAAATGTATAGTGAGAGTGAAATTAGAAATTTAACACCCCAGAAATTGTTAATGGATTTATGGGGTAAGGTTAGCAGCCTTTTAGAAAACGTCTTAATTGTTTATTAAATTTTTAATATTTTATGTGGGTAATAATGTTCGCGATATTATGAGAAAAACAGTTTTCTTCGATAAGCAAACATTTAAAAAAGTATTTTTAGTTAAATTAATTAAGGTCCAAGGATCATAATTAATAAAACTGAAAAAATTAAATTATACACATTCATAATGTTAAAAATAATTTAATAAACAAAAAACAAATCCTCCAGAATCTTTGTGCTAGCTTTTAAAACTTCCGAGATACGACAGTCAACTTTTTTTCTTTTAAGGGCGCCAAATTTGATTTCGAAATTTTGGAATAAGTTTGTTTTCTGGTTGCAATAGTGTGTATTAGGGTGGTGCGAAATATAAATATTTTTAAAATTAAAAACGCCTGTATAGAAAACTTTTGTATGATAAAAATAAATATTTTGGTGTTTTTTTAGCATAACTAACTTGTTCAAAATTAAGAAATTTGATTATAAAAAACATTGTGTATTACACAAGTATTCTATAGACGCCTGTCTGCGTTTTTTAATTTTAATAATATACATATTTCGCTCCATCCTTTTAAATTAATGTTTTTGGACTATTTTTTTTTTATTTTTCGAAGAGTGAAAACAAAATCAGCACCATTAATAAAAAACGGATAAATCGTTGCGTTAAACGAAAATAAGACATCACTACAATAAAAATAATATCAACACAAAATCACAGCAGATCAAAACGCCTTCTACCTGCTAACATAACTAGACAAGTTTCCTTAAATTAGAAATGGATCGTCTTACTTCACCTCCTGCTATCTAATTCATTCCCGGTTCCTCATCATTTGCCAAAACGATTTTGTGCACAATGTGTACTACACATTATCTTTTATGGTAAACTATAGTAAGTGTCCAATTAAGACAAATCGGACAACCTTTCTGGCCAGACAATATCTCCATTGTCTATTGGAAAACGTCTCAGTAAGACATCGAGTCACAGTCCTTGCGTTGGAAGGTGGTTTAAAGAAATGTTATTATCAGATGTACATGGTGTTAATAAATTAGAAAAATATGAAAATGCTTCAAGAGAGAAGTACAATTATTTATTATTTTTAACAACTTTGACATGTGTCCAATACCGTAAAATTGTATTAAATAAATACACTCTTCTTTGGTTAACATTTTCGAAAATGACTTTACTAAAACAAAATACTGACAGATGTAAATAAAATCCCCAACTATGTTGCCTATGTCAACAGACATTTCTCCAAAGAATTCCCATAAATTCTACCAGAACCCAAACTTCAAACACAATAACTCCCCTATCAACACTTGCACTTATAGCCCCCAGTGACATACCCAAAAACCAAGATACCTACCCCCTTAAACGCAATCATATGGAAAATTCCCTCTATCGACACCAAATTTTTAATGTTGGCAACACCGCCCCAACGAAATGAATAGATACCATCCAAAATCACTGAAGTTTTCTGTGTTGCATAACATCAAATTAAGGTTCATAAAGAAATAAAGAACACATGCTTCAAAATAAAAATAAAACGCTCCACTTATGTCGGTAAAGGGAACACCATTAAACTAATTAATTCCTATGGAAAGAGGCATTTAAATAACTAAACAAATATCCTTGTTAAAAATATACTTAACAATTAGTCAAACTAAAAATAAACCTCTTAACAGTTTACATCTATACCGTTCTAGATGTAAAAAATACTAATAAAATAAAATCAATGGGTAACTGTCAAAATGAAGGTTACATAATTAAGATGGTTGCAGCTGTCCAGAGTTTCCTAGACGATACCCCCACCATCCTCAGGCGTCTTTATAGACAAAATCCTGGTCTTAGTCCGAATCTATGAAGAACGAACTACAGCAATAAGGAGACAAACAGGGTTCTCTTAGTTTTTGGGGTTGACTAGGCTTAAGAGCGTCCGCGGGGGTCTCCGTCGTCACTTTCATGACGCAGCTGCGCCGTGGAAAGAGATGGCTCCAGCCTAGGAGAAGTAGTTGTGTAAAGCCAGTGCACTATGTAGGGTTGTAAGCCCCAGGTGCGTGCAATGAACCTTTTGCACACCCATAGGCTAGCTATGATGACTCCCAGATATTTGAATGAGTTGGATAGGGTCAGTCTTCATCAGAAGTGGTGTATGGTACCATTTCAGTCCGGATTGACGGATAGTCCGTAATTTTTGCACCACCTTTTGACCTTATTTAGAGCTCTTTGCATGATCTATTTAATAGTGTTCGGTAGCCTTCCAGCTACGACAATGACGAGGTCGTCTTAAGTTTATATACCTTTCTGGTTTAGAAAACAAGGTAGCCCATTCAGCACTTGGCACCACATCAAGGGCGATATTATTCCTCCCCCCTCAAGCATGACACGGATTCATTTGATGGTTTTCTCTATGCCAAAACCCTTTGCAGCTTCATTTATTGACTCGAAGGAGGTATTGTTAAATGCTCATTCAATATCTAGAAACGCGCCCAGAGCCATCTCTTTAGGACAGGTCCCTTTCTCCAGTCTTGTCACAAGGCTGAGAAGAGCGACATGGCTGTCCTTTGGGCGTGTTGATTAGGATGCATGGGCATGCCCCATCCCTAATGAATATGTTAGCCAGTTTCTCCATAGTTTTTAAAAGAAACAAGGATAGACTGATCGGTCTATAATCCTTTGCTGTCGTAGTTACAACGCCTTTGGGGGTAAACACCACTCGAACCTGTCGCCAGAATTGTGGCACGTAGCCCCGTGCTGGGCAGGCTCTAAAGAGGCGTATCAAGTGCGGGGTCAGTGGTCTATCTGGTCCTAATGAGTGGATAGCCCATTTTATGAAGCTTTTTGTTAATACCTTTGCAGCTATCTTCCAGTCAGTTGGCCTTACGCTAGCTGGTGGAGCTTGCCTTGGTGTTTCGACAGTTTGGAGGATTTATGAGCCCGGAAAGTAAGTTTTCAGGGGCCGTTCAAGTGCCTCCTCCGCGCTGATGCTACAGTCACCGGAGGAAAGCCTTAATAACCCCAGTTCTCGCCTTGGATTCTTTGAGAGAA